GACTGCCCCCTGGAAGGTTCTCGTTCATTCCCTCATTCATTCTCCAAGTATTTGCTGGACATCCATACCGCCGAGCCCCACTTGTCTGGGCGACATACTCTCCCTCTCCCCACAGGCCTTTCAAACCTTCCCCACACTTTTCAGACACCCCCAGTCCCTCCCTCCCACAACAATAGGGGACCTCACTGCCTCCTTTATAAAGAACACAGAAATCCTCAGATTCATCTACCAACCACACAAATTTACCTACTGCTGCACCCTCTCCTGCTGATACAACATTTTTAAGCTGCAGTTTCATTTAGGGGGTCTCGATCAGCATTTTTTAATGCAATAAATAGAGCAAAAAATATTAACTATTGCACAGAGTAATTTATGTTTCTTAAAACTTCTGTTTCAATTATGAAGCAACTGTTACAATGGGTTGAGGTTAAAAAGTATGTGTATACTGGAAAACTTTCATAATAAAAAGTTAAAACAACAACACTCCAACAGAGAAGCTGTCCCTCCTCCTACCCACAGCTAAGCCTTGTTTTAGGTCCCCTCCCACCACCACCTCTTCAGGACCCTTATATTCTGGACTTGAAGTCTTCTCTTTCTGTAAAAATCAAGAACACCTCACTGGCCTCCCACCCCCCAGTTACTCTCCCTTCCGCTTCCCAGTCAAACTTCTCCAAAGAGTCTGTCACCAGCTCCGTCACCCCACTCCCACCCCTGCAGTCGCCTCCCGCCCACCGCGCTCCCCTGGCCCAGGTCTCCAGAAAGTCCCCGTGACCCCCGGAGCCCACACATCCAGAAGACACTTTTCAGTGTTCACTCGCTTTTTGTTAATTTCCTCTTACCCCTCCCGCCCCTTGGGAAGCCTTCACTGACCTTCCTAACAAGGTCAAACCACCCACTAGTGGCGCTCTCTGTTCCTCTTTCCTTTGTAACGGCTGTCAGTTGTCACTGTTCAAATTTTACATGTTTGTGCGATTATTTGCCTAGATTAGCCTCCCCAAGGTGAGAGGCCGAGTCTGTTTTTATTTACCTTGGTAGCCTGAGGGCCTCCCTGGCTCGGTGCTGGACACAGTAGGTGCTTAATAAACTAAGGTGAGATAAATACACAGTGCCGGCCTCCGTGCTAGCCTTTAGGAGTACGAGGAAAGAAGTTCTGGAAAGGGAAGGGTACTGGGAAGGAGGAGAGCCAGGGGAAAAAGGAGAAGGGAGGGGCTGCTCCTGTCCAGCTTCCCAGACCATCTGGAGCCTTTTCAAGATCTGCATTTACCCCCAGGGCTGTCATCTTTCACTGTCTTTGTGTGAGAATGTGGCCAAGGTAGGAATATTTGCTCACCATTTGATACCTGACAGATAGAGCTCTTTAATGAATGCTTTCTGTCCACTATAAGTGACACCTCTTTCTGGCACCAAGCTACCAGAATACAGGGCATGTATCTGTTTTATTGTGTTTTCGCGTGGCCGGCATCTTCCACAGCACCGGTCCCTGACAAACTCCACAGAACAGCAAAAGACCTTATTCTGCGCTGTAGAGCCATAGCCAATGACTGTTTAATTGTGCTTAACGCTTTCACTATGTGGTTATTGATTTCCTGTGGCATATCCATACACAGACATTCATTTTATGACATTAAAAGATCAAACACATATGACAAATATCTAAAATCTAACAAGCATGGTATGGAGGTGCAACCGGCAAAATGCGGCCTGTCAGAAACGCTACTGAACAAATGAGCAGGTTCCCCCCCCACAAAACAATTGAGGGGGTGGGGGGGATTTAAAAGTGATTTAAGGGGCGTATTAACTAGACAACTGTATGGAACTTGTTTGGATCTTTATTCAAATAAAATAATGTAAAAAGGAAATTATAGGATAATCAGAGAAATGTGAATATAGACTAGAACTCTGATTATATTAAGGCCACATCACCCCTTTTTTGGAGTCTGGTGATAGCTGATAGTATTGTGGTTATGTTTTAAAGGGGAAGTCCTAATCTTTTTGAGATATGTGTTGAAATATTTATAGATCGTAAAATATTAAGTAATATAATGTCTGCGATTTGCTATAAAATAATCAGAGTGAAGTTGAGTGGGGAAGAGGCCAGGGATTTAGAAGAAAGAAGACGGTCAGTTGTTAATGGGGGAAGCTGGGTGATGGGTACACCTGACATGCTTAGAGAACTGAAATTTTCAAAAAGTTAAGACGTGAATCTAACTAAGAGAACCCCAAAGTACCTAAGTTTTCGTTAAATAATTTTTAAAGTCTGTACTAACTTAGAATTCTTTCATTTTTTAAAGACGTCTAAAAGAGAGAGGTACTTTGATTTACGAGCCTTTCAAGGCACCTCTGAAGGCAGGATTCAGGCCTCCTGGCTGCTGGCTTTGGTCACGTCCCTGCTGCAGCACATCCCCTTTACTCCCAGCACATCCGGCACCTGCCTCTCAGGAGCTGGGACCCACTCAAGGATGTGCACCGACTGGCTGCCCTCAAATGTCAGAAAGATACAAATACAGTCCGACAGTGCCCAAGGTTTCACAGCCTTCCTACTCAGACAGGTAGCTTTATCATTTATTTTTTTTTAATCCTCACCTGAGGATATTTTTTCCATTGCTTTTCAGAGAGAGTGGGAGAGAGAGAGAAAAACATCGATGTGAGAAAGACCCATCAGTTGGTTGCCTCCCGCACACACAGCCGGTTGGGCCAGGGACCAAGCCTGCAACCAAAGTACGTGCCCTTGGCCAGAGTGAACCTGAGACCCTCCGGTGGCCGGGGCGACGCTCTAACCACTGAGCAAACTGGCTAGGGCCAGGCATGTAGCTTTACATCAATATCTTCATCCAGCCCTTGTGCTGGGGGCTGTCAAACGCTGTCAAGCCAATGCTTCATGAGGACCACACCCCTGCCCCCTGCCCATTCCCACTCGGCTTCACATCAGCCTTTGAAACTGCCCCTAACACACTGGGTCAGCCGGGTGACCTGCTCACTTTTGCCCTTTACTGCTTCTTTCTCATAAAAGTTTGAACTAGCCAACTTATATTCAGAAACTTCTNAACATTCAGAAACTTCTAAAGCCTGCCGGACTCTGTGCCAAAATCTGATGCTGGGCAGAAATAAAATTCCTGAAAGAGTTTAATGACAGTCAGTTGCCTTCTGATAGAGACACTAACCACCACTCACAGATTCGCTACGGCTCCTGCAGAAACGTTGCCTGAGCCCAGCTGCAACTCCC